TTGTCAGTCCCACTGCCAAATTGGAATCTGGACAAAGATTCCTGCCAGACAAAAGGTGGCAGGACAGAAAGCTCTTGCTGCCCATGGAGTGCCCAGGGTGACCCACCAACTGCACCTGAAACCCGAAGGTTCCAGGCTTTCTTTCCTGGGGGAAAGGCCGTGACTTCCCAAAGAGTCCCATGGCAGATGGGTGGGGCTGCTCTGTGGGGGTGTGGGGCGTTGGTTCTTTGGTTTCCACGGGCTATTCCAGAATGGAGAGGATGGGCTGGGAAATCATAAAGGGGCACATGGGTGGGGCTGCATTCTGACCTGGTGGGGTGCTGGTTCTTTGGTTGCCAAGGGCTATTCCGGAATGGAGAGGGTGGGCTGTGACATCACAAAAGGGCCTCAAGCGCATGGGTTGGTTTAGTGGGTTGACCCTGGTGGGATTTCAAACACCCACTAAAAGCTGCCACCTCCCCCTCCCTCTGCAACTCCACAGAGGAGAGAAAAAAAAAGCAGCTGAGGATTCCTGAGTAGAGATAAGGGTGGGGAGAAAGTCGCTTCCTAAAGGGCAAAACAGACTCAAAGTAGGGATAGTACTTAAATTTATTACTGACAGGATAAAAGCCAAAGAGTGAGAAATAAAACAGTCTGAAAAACACCTTCCCCCCACCCCTCCTTCCTTCTCAGCTCTCCCTCCTCCCCCCAGCAGTGCAGGGGGATGGGAATGGGAGTTACAGTCAGTTGTTGTTTCTGTCACTGCTCAGGGAGAGGAGTTGGATCCTTCCCTGCTCCCGTGGGGTCCCTCCCATGGGAGACAGTCCTGGATGGACCTCTGCAGTGAGTCCTTCTGGCCCTAAATCTGTTCTCCCAGAGCTGTTCCTGTTGCTCCTGATGGGCTCGGCCTTGGCCAGCGGCAGCAAGTCCGTCCTGGAGCAGCTGGCATTGGCTCCACGGGGCAGGGGAACCTTCTGGCAGCTTCCAACAGAAGCCACCCCTGGAGCCCCCCCGCTACCAAAACCCACCCACAGAAACCCACGACACCCAGTGACTTCCACTTGCCCCAGGATGGTCCCAGTTCCCAGCAGTGGGATCCCACTCACTCCCAGTTCATGCCAGTTGCTTCCAGCATGCACCCTGTCACTCCCAGTTGCTTCCAGTTGCTTCCAGCATGATCCCAGTTGCTCTGAATATGTTCCCAGTTGGCTTCCAGCACGGCTTCACTGGTTCCAACTTCCCCCCTGTGTAGTTCCAGTCACTCCCAGTTTGATCCTGGTCCCTTACAGTCACTCCCACTATGATCCCAGTATGGTGCTGGTCACTCCCCCTATGATCCCAGTCACTCCCAATAGGATCCCAGTTGCCCCCAAGGTGCTCCCAGTTGCTCCCAGTCCCCCCCAGGATGGTTCCTTTCCCTCTCAGGGACTCCCAGTCTGAGTCCAGGATGGCCCCAGGCACTGTCAGTCCCTGTCTGGATGATGCCATTTGCCCCTGCATGGTCCCGGTTACTCCCAGTATGAGTCCAGTCACCACCAGTACGATCCCAGGAACTTCCAGACACTTCCAGTACAAAGCCAGTTTGATCCCACTCATCCCCAGTATGGCTGCAGTCCCTCCCACACACTCCCACTATTATTGCAGTCACTCCCAGTATGATCCCAGTATGACCCCAGTAGGGTCCCAGCTGCTCCCAGTATGATCCCAGTTGCCCCAGTTCTGGTCCCGCTGGATCCAGTCCAGCTCTGGGTGTATCCCGGTGTCCCCCCTGTCCCCCCACCCCGCTGTCACCCCCTTTTCTCTCCCCACAGAGCTCCTGAGCCGCCGGCGGCCGCAGCCCCTCCCCGGGGCCTCGGGCACAGCCTGGACCCGCCCCGTGTCCGTGAGGATTTTGGGGGGTCGTGTGTCCCCCCTCCCCTGCTGTCACTCTGCCTCCACCCACCTGCTCCCTGTGATCCCAGCAGAGCTTCCCAGTTCTCCCCAGTCCCGGTTATTGGGGGGCACTGGGGGGGAATTGGAGGATCCCAAGGGGTGGAGCCGAGTTTGGGGGGGCAGAACCGGCCCCGGGATGGATCAGGAATGGGGACCCCCCCGTGTTCCCCCCGTGTCACCCCGCTCTGGGGGGGCTTTAGGAGGGCACCTGCCTCTCAATAGGCACCCAGTTCACCCCAAAATGTGCTGAGACCCCCCCAGAACCTCCCCACAGCCCCTTAAGGACCCTCAAAAATAATAACACCCCACCCAGGACCTCAGTGGAGAGTGGGGGGATGATGTGGAAGGGGTGGGAGAGGAGGGAAAAAGGAGGGGGTTGAGACCACAAAACTGGTCTGGGAGGGGCTGCAGATTGAGAGGACCATGAAAAAGTGGCAGGAACAGGGAGAAGGGTAGAAAAATGGGGTGGTCTGGCAGGTCCAACGGTCTCATGGGGGTCTTTGGAGAAAGGGGGGTCATAAAGGGGGTGGCCCCCACTGAGCTCCCAACTGACTGTGGGGTGCTGGGGGTGCTGGATCCAATCTCAGCCTTGGGTTATGCCAACAGGGTCAGTTTAGAGCAATTAGAGAGGTGGGACTGAACTACTTTTGTCCCCCAGGGCTTTAATGATGGCAAATGAGATCTATTGATAGAAATTAATTATTTAGGGTTACAAATGATCAGACAAAAGATCTTCATCAGAATTATTTACTGCACAATAGAAACACTAAAACTACCAGTAGGACAGCATAAGATAGGACAGTGCTCTACACTAAAGCAATTGTTGAAGCAATTCTACTCAAGCTGGCACCAAAGCAAGAATTATGAATTAGAGAGGGATGGAACT